TAACATCTCAGGTTAATCCTTGCATCAGCCCGTGCCTGCTTAGCCCAGGACCTCTTGGTTTGTTATCATCCCATCATGCCACCAATTATTTTATACTTAGCGCTGACTGTAGAGGCGGGAGATGTTACTTATGCGGCACAGTTTCTGCTATGGATATTTTTGTTCTGTGAGCATCAAACTGGGTGAAAGCAGGCCTTGATGTCTTTGTTTCGCAGCCGTTCCTTACCCCACGCAGTCTCTCCTCCCCTCCTCAGCCTTTCAAATACAGCCCCTCTACGAACAGGCTTTACAGGGCCAATACTTCATATCCCTCGATAGGTTTGCTCGCTTACAGAAGAGGCTAATCTCCATCAGGTTATGAAATCAGCTCACATGCTTCAGTGGCATTACCCACTATTGATATCCCTGTTCGATCCCCGTTGAGCTCTCTTTGTTGGAGGTAACCCCTTCTCTTACTTCTTCTAAGCTGATTTCTTATGCCACATCATTCAAGTCCCACATCCCCCTGGTATTTAGATGTAGTAAAAATGACTGGGGGGGAAATAAATGGCAGCCAGCGAGCCAACTAAACTGTCTGACTATTAATGGTCCCATTAGTCGCAAATTTACTTTACCACAAAGCCCCCAGCATGTAATCCTTAGATGAATGCCTTTGATTGTGAGGGAATATTTACAGCTGACCCTGCCAGCAGTCTGCAAACCTGCAATGGGCCTCCTGTCCCACATTAAATCCGCTGGCATCTGTTCCGGGGTTCTTATCAAGCACATGCTCTGTTGGTGCAGTGTTTGGGCTGTAGCGCTCGCGGATACGGTGGGCCTTGAAGAATAAATCCCCGCATTCCTGTGAAATGCTAATTCTTGTGAACGTTGTCACACAGGGAGGAACGTTACAGTTTGTACCTGCCTCCGGGCATCGCCGTCCGCAGGGAGGTTTCCAGAAGGCTTTGATCCCCACCGGCAGCCCCCTCCCCATGGCAGGTCTGGATCCCAATGCTAACACCGAGTGTTTCCCTTGTGTAGGTGTGAAGGACATCCACAAAGTTAGCATCATCAGGGGAGAGGCGCCTGCTAGGGTCCACTCCTTCAAACATAGGGCCAGCCGGATCCAGGCCTGGGGTTAGAGACAGCATGCAAGATGCCAAGTTAGGAATTGGGTTATTTCATACAGAATATAGCGAGGAGCCTGTTACTAGGAGCTCTCCTAACCAGATGCTACAGAGGGAGAGTCCCTTCCTCATCCCAGACACTGTCTCCCAAGATCTCTTCACCACGGGCTCACTGAGGGAACAAAGGGAGATGTCCCATACTGCTTTTGGTGCAATACAACCCAGTAGTAGCACCAGTTTGCTCTACAGCGATGGCTTCAGACTACCTGTTGGAAGCCATGAGTCTTTGCTAGGTCACAGTGAAGAGATACTTCAAGAGGTAGCAGGTGATTGAACACCAGATGAGGTCTAGCGCCCCATGGAGACTGTTGGTAGCCAAAGCTGCCTTGGCTACACTTAGTCTGGTTTCAGATCGCACATACGGAGGGACTGTTACAAGTTTAAGCAGCAGCTGGGTGACCCCTGGATCTGAGAGCCCATGACAGGTTTGGGAATTTCGGTTAACCTCTGAGCCTCACCCCCAACCTGAAGCTGCGCTCTTCAGCCATTCCCCAACTTGATTGTTAGGTGATTATTTTTTTCCTGCTTGACCGAATAGAGATATTTATTGCGAGGCTCTGAGGAAGCCTTGCTGCCAGTGTCACATTTAAATGCTTAATGTGGCCCCTTCTACCATGCCCAAAGTTGTCCCATGTTGACATCAGCTTCTGTCTGGAGTTCAAGACACTTAGAATAAGGGGCTGGGGGGGGTTTTTTGACCAAACATCCCATGGGACAAACTGCACCCAATAGCTTTCCCTTTCATTAATTTATGAGCTATAATTACAGAAACAATATCACTCAGAGGCTTAATACCTGGATAGTAAAGGCTTGAGCTGGACTTGTTTTGAACACACGTTTAACTTCAGAAATACTCAAGATCAGGTTGTCCTCTGAAAGGTTTTTCATTGAACCTTCCCTACATTCGGGGTTCAAAATTAAGATACTTTCTCATGTGAAGAGACCTGTGCTCCCCGCTGCCACCACAGATAGGAAACTTATCATTTCTGATATCGCAAGCCCAAAACAACATCGCAGCAACACAGGAAACGAGCCTCTTCAGGGAAACCCTCTGCTGCTAAGGAAAGGTAAGAGCCTGCTTAAAAAGCCACTCGCCTGTGATTCTGCCTATTGTCCCATGGACGTGGTTACCAGCAAAGCCGGCGACATGGGCACCCAGGCTGTACCCGATCAGGTGGACATTCTCAAGCTGGAAGAGTGGTTTCTCCTGCGAGGAAGAAAATAAATAAATAAATAAAAAAGAAATCGTAATTTGCCACCTCCCTGTCTTTCAGGGCATCTGGCACAGCTCCCATCTGCAGGACTCAGGTGCAATTTTAAGAAGAGACTGGAGGGAGGGGGCAGACAAGCATGCTTCGTTCTTTATTTTGTCGAGACAAGTAGAAGTTGAAGGGTTTGGATGGCACTTGTGGTTTGCCCCCAACCCCAGTACTGAGCTTTCAACCCAAATTTCAATACTCTTTGTTTAAGCAGCATCTGGAGCAGCCTTCTCCCAGGGAGCTGCCAGCGGACCTCAGGACTGGCCGTGGACTCAACCACCAAGTGTAGCACCATGGACCTTCTCCTTTTCCACCTCTTGCTAAGCCAATGCTGACTTTGAAGGCCCAGCTCCTAAGTTCAGGAGGAAGGACTCCTAAATTTGAAGTCTGCTTCAACATCGCTGCTCTGAGCATGCTGCAAAGCGGCATCTCCCAGGAAAACACCGTAGCACACGTGCTGAGCGCAGCACCTTCACTGTGAGCCATCGCCCCACCAAGCCTTGGGGTTTGGATTGCACCAGTGCCTTCCCCACTGGCAAGCGCTGGAGCCGGTGACTGTTCCCTTGTGCAACAGTCCCTAACGGAGCGTTACAACAGCCACTGGCCTTAACTCGCGTTACCTGTAACCAGTCGAGCAGCCTGGCGATGCTTTTCCCGACGATCTGCGTGTTGTTCACAGCATCGGTGTAGAGCTGGTGGGCAAGTGAAAGCCAATCCACCACCACCACATTGGCATCCTTCTCCCTCTCCTGAAGAGCGGATACCAAGCTGCCCAGCCAGGTTTCGAACATGCCGCTCATCTAGAAAGAAAAGTCAGGTGGTGGTTTCCAGCTCCCAGGCTCAAGATTATACAGTCACAGTTAATTTATTTGCATATCATTTACATATGCTGCTCCAGCTGTGTGCTGCTCCTCTCCAAGCCCCACTACTTCTCATTGCTGCAGTGATGGGGTAAGAAAAACAGGTTTTGAGAGACTCTGGATGTAATTAGCCGCCTTGCCTTTTTAAGGCAGGAGGGGGAAGCATTCGTTACGTGCCACCTTATCGCTCTTTTTCTCGAGAGTTTCAGAAATTTGGATGGATTGCAAAATTATTTTCCAGTCCTGGCACCGCTGTTTGCATAAGCCCTGGTAAGAGTTGATAAGTGCCCTCGTGCCACACACTCAGTCACATCAAATGCAGGTGAAGAAAGCTCGATAAAGCCTGTGTCTGCCCTCTCTTTCTTTATCAAGGAGACCACGTAGCAGAAGTAAAGGCTGCAGACACAGGTCTACGATTACAGAAAGCCTATACGTGTGTTAAGCCAAGTGCCACCTTCACAGTGGTCAGTTAGTTAGATTTTAGGGAAAAATCACAAGGTGCCTTTACCACATTCACGTTATACAGACACAGAACTGTTTAGGGTGGAAAAGATCATCGAGTCCGACCAGTGGGGCCATGAAGGGATCTCAGGCAGTTGCGAATGAGTTGGGTGATTTCACAGAGTTAAGTATGACCCAGTCACACTGCTCCAGAGAACTCAGGTGCAACTACAAAGAGGCTGCAGTACTCAAAACATGAAAAGTTGTCTTAAATCCCATAGAATGGTTTAGGTTGGAAGAGACCTTAAAGACCATCCAGTTCCACCCTCCCTGCCATGAGCAGAGACACCTCCTGCCATGAGCAGGGACACCTCCCACCGGACCAGGTTGCTCCAAGCCCCGTCCAACCTGGCCTTGAACACCTCCAGGGATGGAGCAGCCACAGCTTCTCGGGGCAAAGAGACACTCCAGACATTCTCGAGACCCAGACCATTTACAGAGCATGTTGCACACTCTAAGTTGACAGACTGAACGCTAAACCTCTCCTCCCCACCGCCTCCTCCCCACTTACAGTCCAGCCGTGAATGATGAAGAAGGTTTTAGCTGTCACATTGAACTTGCAGTCCTCCAGACACTTGTGTTGGCCGACGGCGAGCGCGCAACCGTCCTCTTCGGCGTGCGGCGAGGAGCGGAGACTGAACTTCACCTGCAGCTTCGGTGGCGGCACACGCTCCTGCTGCTCCTCCAGCAGCTCGCTGATGGTGGCATCTGCAAACCAGTGAGGAAGGCTCAGCAAAGCGTCTCTGGGCTTCAGCCTCACCTGGGAGAGGGGGACCCGCTCCACGCACCCCCGACCCCGTCCCGCGTGGGTCCGCGCTCACCCACCCACCTCTGCCTCCTCCTCCTCCCA